TCACTAAAGTAAGTTTATATTGTAACAGCAGTATAGGCATAATCTCCCTCTACTCTCTCTAATCTACTTTGTCACTATGATCAAAACTAAATGATTAGTGCTAAAGAAAGAGTTGTTGTTAGATTTTGGGATGACATGATCACTTTTCATAACGTCTGTGTTCCATATTAATTTCTCAGTAACAAACAGGATTTTGATTGTAGCGGTAAACTAGAATTTACCAAAAGTGAAATTCCGAACGAAAACATATTTTTCCACAGAAATTCGCGAAATCACGCTCATTTTTTTTTCCACTAGACTGTGTAGGTTGAGTAGTCTCATTTTTCAATAACATGCACAAAAGATGTCATTCTTATAGTGACCTAATCCAAATTTTTGGAATCAGACGAGAGAATTATCTTGATTTTTTTCAGAAAGTGAAAGCTTTCATCATTATAGACGCTCATGACTATGTTTACTAGTATTGATGAAGTTTTTCTAACTAACGAAACAAAACAGAGAAGATCATCATTCATTTTTACTTTATTAGTGCTTTCACAGATTCCAGGTTTTTACTTTGAAGTTAGATCTTCCAAATTTTTGAAATTGATACACAAGTTTAACATTTGCATTCATTTGTTCCGCCGCTCATAAGACCGTTCTCCTTTTATTTCTGCTATGTTTTATTGACCAGAAACTATTGCTAATAGTGGATGAGAAAATTCTACACATTAGGAGAAAACAGCAAAAGAACTTTGAAATCAACTTTTAATACTAGAAGAATTTTTACCAGGAGAAAAATCACTAAAAATTAGAATGTCTTGATCATATCAGGAGATTTGTGCTCCTGTTCCCTCTATCGACAATATTGTACGAGAGAATCAATATCTGTGCGTGAGGATGTAAATTTGAAAAGTTCTTTTTTTTCTGTAGGAATTTTGATTTTCCCGCATAAAAAAATCATCGATTATTATCTAAAAGTTCTTAATGACACCAAAACGGATAAGAATTGTTAGTATCATTAGAGTCATCAAAACGGTGGAAAAAAAATCAAAACAAACGTTGACTTTTTCATCAATATCTATCTCAAATTTATCTAATTATAGCATACTCGAGATGGCTGAACGTGTTGCTATCCAGTTTGACAATGCAGTGCGTTCGATTCATTCTTCAGTTCTCATCCTCACCAAGTGAGCAAACAGAAAATCGAACAAAACACAGAAATGATATTACATGCCCTTTCTATGCTAACAAACTACCATAAAGTGTCTTCTATTTTAATTCTATTTAAAGAAATGTTATATGTATACTTTTCTCTTGCCAGTACAAAATAGCTCGAGTATAGCTGAATCATAAAGCGATTAACCGCTTAACCTTGAAATGTTAATTGCTGCAGTTAGCTAGGAGAGAGAGAGTTGGTTAGTGCACATGTTAAACGATAAAAACATCCAGAAAATATTTTCTGCTGTAGGTAATAATAAAACATGAGGACACCCGTAGATACCTATAAATACTTACAGACATTCACATAGAAGTTAATATCTGTGTAGGAGTTGTGGATGTCTGTAGGTGTCTGTGGGTGTCTTCATGTTATACTATCATCCTTCTATTATTATTATATTATCTATTTCTATCATTAACTTCTTTTTCAACAACAAGAAAAGGAGACAAGAAAAAGCTCTCCAATGATTATCAGCGATTTAACTGAGACAAAACTACTTATTCCAGCCAAAAAATATATGTACCACTCTTTTTATTTGATTTCCCTATCAAAACATACAGCAAAAATTTCGGTGCACTCATATTCGAAACAGCTAGAATTAATCTATAAGATGTTAGATCGCTATCAATTTTCCGGTTACTGTTTTGTGTCTCATTACAAAATAAAATCTAAAACGAGAATTTTATGTGAATATATCTAAACTAGTAAGTTTTTCCTGTAAAAAAAAGAGCAATTCGATCTTCAAAAAATTATTGAGTTTTTGAGCAAAATCAAAAATTTTAATTTAATATTCTGTTTTACTTCAAAAACTAATTTTGTTCTAAAAAGTAATTAAAAAAGTTCTATCTAAATTCTTCTGGTATTTACAATGAAGCAAATTACCAATAGAATTTTTGATAGATTTCAATGAACTGTTTCGTTCTTTTAAGAAATCCTTTATTGGTTTACTATCAATTTATATAAATCTTTAGATTTGCTAAACTACGCTTTGTTCTTTTAGAGTGTATAATCAATCACACATAAAAGTCGAACTCAATATTTTATATGTTTCTTGAGGTACAGAGTTGACAGTACTTTTAACCAGTACTATATATGTAAATTACCTAGTATGAGTAATAATGTTTTGTTCGAAGAATATACATTATAATTATTTAAGCGTCTTTATTTTTATTTGTCTAATTTGTCAACAATTCTTTCTTATTCTTCTGTTTTTCAAACGTATTTGTTCTTATGTTTTTTTCTTGCTCTCTCTATTCTCTTGGTTATTTTATTAAGAAAAACAACTAAAAATGAATGTCATTCTATAGGTGACAGATATTTAATTGATAATATTTAGAATAAAGCAAAAATATTAAATACTTAATTGCTGGGCTTAAAAAGCGACATGCTGGTATATATATGAATACTTTAACAAGAAAATATAATGTTGGCCAAGCAACAATATTCAATATTCTTATTAAAACTAGAGAAAGTATATGAGAAAGGAGTTAAAATAAATATGTTATTGTATTTGTAAAGGATGGGAGCTTATAAGAAGGTAGAATGGTTCACTAAGATCATATTGTATCCAATGGTTTAGTTTTGCAGAAAATGATTGCTTATCTCATAAATGGACGTTCTCGAGCTTAAAAAGTTGATACTACAGTCAATTTCGTGTGATAGTCTATCTTAAAAATTAGCTACGAAAATTAACTTTGATTATTCTGAAGAAGGGCTATATTTTGGTATATTGGACTTGCTGCGTCCTTATTACTCCTTACTGCACCAAAGCATTGAAAATAGTGTTCCCCACTCACTTCTGAAGAAAGAGGGCAGTCAGAACAGATCCTATAAATGGGCTACAATTAATATACTAAATATTACTCAAATCATTTTTTAAACAGTTTCTAATTTTCTATTTAACCGTGGTATCGGGCTTTGACAGAAAGAAGTTATAGTCAAATTACTAAATACGATAGACTATTTTCCAGTTCATAACTTTTGAAAGGAATAATATGGGCACAAATCCTTTTAGGGCTTTAACTAGAATACTTTCCTCTATCAACTGATATAGGATCATTGAAAACGGTGTTTGACACCTGGGCAGGTCCCCTCGTTAGTACGAGTATCTTACAATTCTCAGCAACTTTTGATACTTTCGCCCTTTCTTTTTCCAAAAAACCAGTCACAACCCGACTCAAGAAAATCGTTTTAACCTGATATTTTTGGAAAATATTGTTCTATATAATAATAACATTATAACAAAAAAAATTTTAAGACTAAATTCTGTACGGATTAGAAATTTAAATCAAATACAAATGAATGATAATAAATGATCTCTCGGACGATTAACGTGAGAAACCACAGTATCTCTCTTAAAACCCTCGTGTATCTTCTATCCATTATACTCATACAAAAGGAGGAACATGGACTTCAATATTTATCGAATTTGAACTCCGAATGTGATTCTCAATGTATAATCGTTCTTTGACTGTTTCAGTAAAGTTCATATAAATCAGCATTGATCACTTGAAATGTTTAGGATCAATAGAAATTGTCTCTTTCAGTTATAAATCTATTGTATAAAGAGAAAAGATACTGATGGTCGAAATACTTCCACGGAAAGCTAGCAATTGATAAAGTGACCACCTATTTAACACATTGTAAACTGTAGACCGACCATTACAAATTACCAAACGGAGTCGAAAGTGGAATTTTGCTGGTTTTTTTGTAGACGAGTTCAAGAAAGTTTTTTTTTGAAGTTACTTATAATCATAACTTCATGACTAATATAAAGTATCTATGCTCGGGTCCGCTTCGTTACTGAGATGTGAGATATTTTTTGTAAATATTGGCTCTTGTTAATTTCTCCGAAAGGAATATTGTAACTTCATTACTTAGGCAGCTGTAACTTTATACTTAAATTCTCGACAACTTTTGGCACGGAGATTGTTACCATGAACGAAGAGCGTGCACAAATTTTGATCTTCTTTCATTTTTAACAAAGTCGAACTTCGCATTTTTTCACGGTGTCCATCAATGAAGACGAAGCTCGCACCAACAGAAATACAGAAATATGTCTCTATACTGGAACTATTTATGGTTATCTTACAATCTCGTAACGGAGAGGATCTGAGTAGAGATATTTTATATTAGTCATAAATTTATGATTTTAAATAACTTGCAAAAAACGGTTTTCTTTCACTCATCTCTAAAATAACTCGAATCAAATCTGTTTCGTCTCCATATGCATATATCTAAAAAATGTTTTCTTATAAGCCTTTATTTAACATTTTCGACTATTTGAATTTATTATCTATAGTTTTTCAAAAATTTTATTGTTTATATCACGTAGTACAGCTCTGGCTTGTTTGAAACAATTTTCTGTGCATTATAGTCTAATTTATTAGATGTTGTTAAGCAATATAATTACTTAACTCTCTGAATCACTATCGATAAAATAACTTACGACACTATAAAATAAAATTTCAAAGTTAGCTAAAATTTTTTACCAGAATTCAAAATTAATAGAGTAAATAGTCTGATGAAATAGATCCTCTATGAGTATGAATTGTAAATTAGCTTAGAAGTTTTATTACTTAACTTTGTAAGATATTTTACACATTTATACGACATAAAAAGATACTATAGAAGACTTTCATACGGAAGGGAGATAAGATGTTTGGTACATAAACAATGTTAATAGGTGAAAAAAAATAGACATACGAAAAAATTAAACATTAATAAAATCTAGATTCTTTTAGTAGTATCACACAAAATTAAATAACTTTCTACGTACAAAATAAATTAAATGAATGTACTAAAAATTTGAATAAAACTCTTCTCGTTGCGAATTAGTTAATACGCTAAGCTTTGAAGTTATATTTAAAATATTAATAAGCAATACTAAAAACATCAAACCAATTAAAATATAAACTGCTATTGAGCCTAGTAATGCCAAATTCTGTAATACTTGAGTACGCTTTGAACGGTTACGATTTGCTTTAATAACAGACGAGATATCACCTAAAAAAGGTCGAAATATTCCATTATAAGGAACAAAAGATTCTTTAGCAAAATAGTAAAGCATATATTGTAATATAATCGGTTCACCACTACTACTTGAGTAAAAAATAGCATCGGTTGGTTTCACTTGTGAGGTATCATATATTTCAAAATGCGTTTCATCTATGGCTAATGGAAAATAGCGAATAGGTTTAAAATTGGATAAATATTCAATATTCTTTATTTGTTTTTCTGCTCGTTTTAGTTCACGTTTCATTTGAAAAAATATGTACCAATCTTGAAATGGATCATCAATTCTTTGTATTTGTCTCCAGCTACGAATTTTATGTAAATTTTCACGGACAAGTTTCCACTTGGAATTTGGACGCAATGTGAACGACGTCATTGGAGCTTGATAATCATCTATTGAATTGAATCTTGTCATTTTTAAACTTGTGCCATCATGTGGTTGTCGTTGTTGTCGAAGTGTTGTGTTTTTATTTTGATCTTGTGGATTTGTAATGATATTTATTTCTTGCTCGTGTTTCAAATTTTTTCGAACAATAGCAATGCGTGAACGAAATTGCTGCATCTTTAAGGTCAAAACTACAAGTAAACAAGCATAGAAGATTTCAATAGAATTCTAGAGAAGATGTTGCTAACTGACGAGGAAACAGTCTCAACTTACAAATCCCTTTCTGAGTAAAAAATTTGGAAGCCTATGTAATTGATGATGCTGATCCCGAATATGTTAATCTAGACTGCTTCTATGTTAGGAGCCGATTATTGGAAAATGTGTGTCTTCAAAACTAAATTATTTTTGCTCGAAATCATTTATTGGACACTGCCCATTTGAAGAGCATCCTGAATTATCTGACATAATTTGGTAGAGCTATAAGCAATTTAATTCGAGATCTGCAGTTATGAAACAGGATTTGATGAAATTAGAAAGTGAATTTTAACACGGCTAGAAGTGAGACAATATTATAGACAAACATGTGAGGTCAAACAAAGAATGCTTTCAGTCGAGACATACATTTTTTTTTCATATGTTTGTCTTTCAAATTATGCCTCACTTCTAGCCGTGTTAAAACTCACTTTTTAATTTCTTCTGCAATAGATGACAGATAGGAAAAGAAAATGAATTTAGAAAATAGTGAACAAGAAAGATACATGTAAAGATGAAAGTTCGATTGAGAGACTGACTTTAATAGTCTTTCGCAGCTAATCTGAGTCCTCTTCCATATCTTAAGGGGAGAAGGTACCCATTTAGATTTCACTCAAGCTTTGTCAGTTTGTAGAGGATATCTTAAAATGTATATCCTGGAATTATTAGGTCTTACGAACATTGTCTGACCGGATTATTGAAATTTTCGGGTTATTTTGGCCTATTTTTAAAAACTTAATAAAATTTCTAAATTTCAATTTTGAAATTCATGTTTGATGCCATTCAATAGAGCAGATTGAGATATATATGTGCAAAAGTTTCATCGTTACCAGACAAGATTTGGCAGAAAACTTTGAAAATTACTTGGGAATTGGGTTTTAGTGCAAAAAGTAGGATTTTTTGAGGTTTTATATGCACTTTCTCGCCAGGAAGGCATTTTTGAACAAAAGTGTAGGAACAAAAATTGCTCCGAATCTTATTTTGTATAAGAAAACAGTGTTGATAATGTGGAACTCCTAAAGGCAAATTTTTATAGTTAAAAATACGAAACTTAGGCAGAGTTATGACACCTGACCAAACTTAGTTCTAAAAATAATCTTTTTGCCAAGTGAGATGAAAGTGTTCAAGAGTCGTGAAAATTATAAAACACAGGTAATTTGACGTACTGAAATGGATGGCAACATCAGAAATTGAAATAGACAAAATTTTTTAGGCTTAGTTTTTCAGAGATTGAATTATCAAAAACGGTGTAGACCTTGAACCAAATTTCGCTTCAGAGAAGCATTTTGGGAGGAAAGTATGCGAACAACTACAGGCTTGGTACCCGAAAAATTTCTACTTTTAGTAAATTTCTACGTTTAGTTAACTCAGTCTGCTCTATGAACTGACAGTGTTGAAAGCTGATTCTAAGCAAAAATAATTTAGTTTTGCAGACATGCATTTCCAGAAATCGGCTCGTGCTATCTAGCAGTAGCCTACACCAACATATTCAGAATCAGCATCATCAGTTACATAGAATTTCATGATTTTTACGCAAAGAAACGATTGAATCTGTATCTCAGTGAATATTTTTTCTATCGTTTAGTTTTCCGATACCATTTACGTACTAAGCATTAATCTGAAAGTAAACAGATCCTGATGAAATCACTTTCTACTTAACTGAAGGATCCATTGCAATGAACCGAAAACAAATGGATTTTTTAAAAATTCTCTGTATAGTCTATAAATACTCCTATTATCGAAATTATAGTTGAAAATAACTGTACGTATATTATGAATTTGAATCAAATCATACAAAATATTTACAATTTTTCTTTTCTATATGTACTTTCAGGAAATGATTATTACTTGGTTCAAATTTCTTTTATTCCTCAAACAATATTTTTTTTTTCTTTATTTAATTAGTCACATGTAGAAAGAGTAGATGTTATTTATTGTAAGCAAAGAAAAGAAATAAATCTAAGCAAAAAAAACTGTTTTAGATTCTTGAATAGAATTAATTTCAATGTCATTGTTCGACAGCAACTTACCTTGTATAAATTTATTAACAATAAAACTTTATTATACATAATAAACCGTAGGTAATTTGTCGCAGTACTATCCTAGAGGTGTAATATGAATAATAAAAAAAGGTAATATAAGTATTTTCGATGTAAATGAACTTTTTTTTTCCAAAATAAGAATACCTTTTTTATTACTTCAAAAGTGATGAAATGACAACATACTCATCTATGTTTTTTTTCTTTGACTTCATACTCACATGTGCAAGAGAAATAAAAACAAATTTTTTTTTAAAAAAAAAAAAAAAAAAAAAAAAGAAAAAATGTAATCGAGACTCTTACTTTTGAGCACACAAATAGGGTTTATGAAAATTAGTGTACATAATTTATTGCATGTAAATGATTGTACAGCCAGTATAGAGACAAAATTTTTTTCCTCAAATAATCATATGTCAAACAAAATTATAGAAGAAAAAAAGAAAAATGATTCAAAAATAGGTTCGTCTATACACAAATCAGTTATTGAGAAAATATTTAGTTTTTTTTCATTATATTATTCAGTTTTAACTAAAATATTTAGTTCTATCTATTACAAAATAAAAACGCATATCCAACGAGGTTTAATTGAACTTTTTTTTGTTTTTTTTTTGAGGAAAAATAATTCTTTTGTAGCATCCGGTTCAAGTTGGTGAAAAAAGATAAAAAAAAGTATAATTTTATCTTAAAAATTTTACTTTAACCAGAGAGAACAAAGTTGTAAAAATAGGATAGTGTAATTTAATTTGAAGTTGTAATAGAATAATGAAAAATAACTGTCTTTTGAAGATCACATTTGATTTTTAGAAAATAGACATTATCATCAAATAGTAGTACAATCAAGAACAATGAAGATAATTTGTTCTAATAGATGATGAGATGAACAAATTCAATAGTTATAAAACAATTCAAAGAAAAATTATTCAAGGATTTTTTTTATCGTTTTTGTCCAAAAATCTTGACACAGGAGTAGATCTTTTAAAATAAAAGTAATGGACTGTTGTACCTTGTTCTCTTACCTTGAATTTAAGACTAAATTTATTTTAAAAAAAAAAAAACGAGATTTATTAAAAAACTTGTTTTTTGTTTTACTTTAAAGGTGTAAAACATGAAAAACTACGTCAATAGATTTTTAATAACACTTCATGAAGTCAAGATATTCTTTACATAAATGTATATTGTTTATGCACATACTCTATATATCTCAAAAAAGTTCAGCCATATGTGAATAACTGATGGTTAGATATTTTGTTGATCTTTACAAGACATTATTTTGTAAAAAGCACAAAATTTTCATAATTAAATGAAAAATTTATAATAAGTTAAAAGTGCTTTTTTCTTCTGACAAACTTATATTAGCCGTACTTACATTATTTTTTAAGATTTGTCTGGCAATGTTTCAAAAAAGAAATTTTTTAATCTTTATTCAATCTTTTGTTTATGTTCTCTGTTATTTCTTCTATTATGCGTTCCAAATTCAAATGTTGAATGATAGCTACTGTTTATGCTCAACTATATAAATAAAATGGTAAACTGCTTTATTATTTTTTTTTCAATAAAGTTCTTTATATAATAAAAAGCTTAAGCTTACTTTCTATTGTAAATCGGGTGCATAATTTGCTTTCCGTTGATTACTTTCTATTTTATTTAGCTTTTTTCCCACAGAAAAAATTGGTTTCTGTAGAAAAAAAGCTATAACAGATTTACTTTCTAGTGATTGTATACCGAAAATATATTTCAAAAAATAAACAAATGAATAATCATTGCAACTAATAAATTTTCAAATGAAACAATTATTCATCAAGATGATGAACTAAATTTGTGAATGAGAATGGACAATGTTCAATAATTCTAGTTGCTGAATAATGGGAAGTAATTAGAAACCAGATTAGTAATCATAATGTTTAACATCATCATGATAATCTTTGCAAAAAATATACATAAAGGTAGGTAAATATACATAATTCTCACAACCTTTTTATAATAAAAATATTTACTAAATTTTTGTTGATCTTAGACTGAAAGTATCATGCGAAGCTGATGAAAATCTTTGTGATTGATTTGGAGTTTTTGTTGCATAAACATTGTTATCCTTAATACAAATATTTAGGAGTTTAAAATATCTAATTTGTACTTGATCAAATTATCGAGATATTTGAGAATTTCTTGATTATTATGATAATACGTACGGATCGGATCATTCAATCGATTTTCACTACATAATTAAAACTATTACCATAACATAATACCATGAACAATTGATTATTTGGAATTGAGTTGCTGGTATGAGATATTTTTAAAATCCCACAAAAAAAAAAAAAATTGAATCTGTAATAATAATTTTTCGTCTTTTTTTGTAATAATACATTCGTTGTCTTAATGATTATCTATTTGCCTATTTTTGAAATATATTTTCGATATATAATCAACGTAAAGTAGATCATCGTAAATACCGTCTTTTTCCTTTTATAAATAGAAAAAAAAAAGTCTTTTTCTCTTTTCTTTAAAGATCTAACAAAGTATAACTGATCTTTGCTTTTTGTTTGTTTTCTTGTATGATAAATATTTCTTTTTAAATAAATATGATCGTATACTTTGAAACGAAGTAATACTTTTGTATGTTAATTTTAGAAATTAACATCGTAATAAAACAGTGGTAACGTAGATCACACTTTAATCACCTTAAAAATCTATTTTGCATCTAGGTAAATTGTATTTACCTGATCAGAGAAAACATCTGTGCTTTAAAGTATTCTCGATATCTTATTCGTTATACATCGATCGTGCGATTGTTAAAATATTCGGAGTGCTTTTAAAATAGTTCTCTTCTTATCTTTCGAATCCACAAAAAGTTTCTGTTGGCTCGACTTTTTCTTCTTCTGTTTGTATGACGTCTGGAGTTCCTCAGGGTAATATCCTCGATTCGATTTTATTTTTTATTTTTGTAAATGATCTTGCGCCATCTTTTAAATCTTTTCTTCTTTCTTGTCTTTTCGCTGATGATATCTTCTGTGTTACAAATATATTCAAGGCACAAAAATGTATCAATGATTTTTTTCGTTGGTGTAATATAAATGAGGTCAAATTAAACATAAACAAATGTCAATGGATTTTATTTTCAAATTCTACTAAAACGCTTTCATCGCTTATTCTTTCAATAAACAACATTGATATTATAGAGTGTCGTCGCTTAAACTTCTTGTCATTATTATTTCATATAATTTAATGTGGAAAGCGGGCACATTGAACATGTTGTAACAAATTCTTGTCAAACGTTAGGCCCTATTTCTAAAGTTTTTTGTAAATCGCCTTCATTTCTTCGTTATCATCTGCTCTCTAAAAAAAAATAGGCATTTTAAAAAATCTAAAAAGGATGCGGGAAACTGCAAATATACGGAACCCTTTTGAGGGTTTGAAGGTTTCACCTTTACTAAAAAAGCAGATAGACCAATAAAGAATTAAAGCGTAGAATAAAAAAAGAGAATTATTCAAGTTAGAACCAATGTGATATTCTGAATGACTGCTGTGAACAGTCATGAGCCATGATTGAGACATTTCGCCAGTTTATGTGCTCTCGAAAAAGACAGGTAGTTTTTAAAATCCGAACGGTTTTTTATTCTTGCTTCTAAACCCAAGCAAAAATATTTTTTTTGGATCTAGCTTGAAGCTAGATTTTAGGAACATTTACCTAGCTCCAATCTAGCTCCTACCCGGTTGGAGCTAGCTAAATGTTCCAAAAATCTAGCTTCAAGCTAGATCCATAAAAAATATTTTTGCCTGTGTAACTCAAAACGGTTTTGTATCGTTACTAAAGCGTTTTGGTTTTTCAAAAAAAGTACTTTAAGAAAACAAAGGGTTGTTTATTAATCTCACAAAACCCTAAAGGTATTCTATTTACGGTACATTATTTAGTTCTTGACCAAAATGGTTTAGAAGTTGAATTGAAAAACCTTTGGGATTTAGCAACAATAATGAAAAAACCCTTTTGTCTTTTTAAAATTGTAAAAGGGTTTATATATCAGTCCTTCGGGTTTAGTAACGAAAATAGAATACATTTAGGGTTTTGTGATATGAATAAAAAACCTTTTATTTTCATAAAATACTTTTCGAAAAAGTATTTTGACAAACCAAAACGGTTTAGTTACCATACAAAACCGTCAAATGGTTTCTGAAATGTGCTACTGTACCCTTTTGGGTTTAGAAATCAGAATAAAAAACGGTTCGGGTTTTTTAAACTGCCTATTTTTTTTAGAGAGTGTATACAACTTGTGTAAGACCTGTGCTTGAATACGGTTGTGTTATCTACGATTCCATCTTTAATTTCCATCTTCAAATTTTGGATAAAATTCAGCGTCTTGCTAGTAGAATCATTTCACAAGACTTTATTAGTCCTTCTTCTTGAAGAACTAAGTACCTTTAACTTTAAAAAACAGAAGGGGTTTTTGCACGCTAAATGCAAAACGGAAATGTGTTTGGTACAGTTGCAAATGCAAAAATCCTTTTCCGTTTCGCACTCTACGGTTTTTTTTACAGTGTACTCAGAAAATGTAAAATTCAATCACGTTCTAACAGAAGTCTCTATTATCGTCTTCTGTATTTATATAAAATTTTCAACCAGAAATGTTCGCTCTACCCTTCTGGTTTAATTTCACCGCTCGCGTCAAAATTCTCAATTAGAGCATGATAATCGTGTGTTGTGTATTTCTCGTTTGAAGTCAAAATCTGCATCTAGCTCATTTCTTCTACGAATATAAAAAGATTGGAATGAACTATCTTCTGTCTTAGCATGTCCGACTTCTTTATCAGTATTTAAAAATATGTTGAGAGACCATGCAGGCAGGCTTTTGATAATTTCACACACAACAACAAAATGCATGACTTGTATTTATTTTATTTTACTTTATATGTATAGAAGAGACCCGTCATGGATTAAAACTTTTAGTTTTTAGTTATCACAGGATATCCACCGATGTTTCTTTAAGTTTTTCTTAACTTTATACCCAATGTAATGGGTAAAATTAAGAGAGAAGTCATCAGAATTATAGATGCATTTGACCTGTAGAGACTCAACATATTGCCTACTCTAATGCACTTAGATCGAAAATAGAGGTGATTATCAGTACATTATTAGCTCTTACTGTCAATAATTATTTTGCTCATAAATTAGAAGACAGATAGATAGAATACCCTTTACCAAATACCGGTGCAAGGTGAAGATACAAGAAACATAGATAATAAAAAATGGGGGGTTTTGTCCAGGTTTAAGGTCACATAGAGTGAAAGGTTTCGGAGAATGCAAAAAGTGTTCGAATCTGATCCACTTGTGCAAAATCGTCGTAGAATATGGGATGCCATAGTTCAAAAGAAATTTTAACATTGGAAAGAGTTCGAAAGAGACTGTATAATATTCAATTAACCTTTATTTTCGATTGATTATTTGTTTTGCAACTTTGTTGCATCAAACATACGTGATAAATAATACGAAGTTTTATTTCTCAACTGACGTGAAATATGGGATCATATTACAACTACCATAACTTTCTATTCAAACAAACACAGTTTGCATTCAAGGATCAAATGACTATAAAAACACGTTATAAAATATGGATTTGAAATCAGATTCAACACAATTATTCGAACACTATTTGATTATTAGTACAAGTAACTGTTGAGAATATTAAGTCTCATTTTAAAAGCATAAATGGCATGTATGGCCAAACAAATGGATGTCATATTTTAAAAATACAACTTGAACATGAACGCTATCGATCAATCAATGTTTACTGAATCCATACGTGATGGAACTCTTAAAGATCATATATAGAAGAACTTTTCTATACTCCAGTATAGATAATATGGTTATGCAATATTAATTTTCTACAAGATTTATCGGAAAAATTTTTATATCTTGAAAATTGTTCAAGCTTGAATATACATACAAATACGCAAAGTGATAGAAAACGCAAATGCTTTGGAATACAACAATAAGAATTAACAGAGAAAAACGACTACATCTAACAGTAATAATAGGCGTATTTGTAACAATAAAATTTCAAGTACGAAAGATGATTGATTGTTTAGACTATTTACTGTTCAAAAAAGAATAGGAAACGCAAAAAATAATATTGTGAGAGGGTTAAATTTTATTATAAAATCGTTCATTCTGTCAACAACTGACCTATCAAAGAAAGCAAAATTAAAATAATATATGTACACAATGCGTCTCCTATAAAAAGAAAAATTGATTTATAAAAAACCAACATATCTTCATATTTCACGAAAGTTCGTGAGGAAAAACGAAGGAATGTGTTTTGAATTTTTTCAAAATTCTGTCATTTCCTCTCCAAGATCCATTTCATTTGATTCATTTTGATTACTACTTGTGGATTTTTGATGATGACGTGATTTATTTGGAGGTGGAGGTGTAGTTTTTTCGACTGATGAAAAACTACTGCCTGCGACGTTTGATCCACTGGCTTGATTCAAATCTTTATAAGCGTTATGTTCAGTGAAATATTCACGTATACCAGACTGATTAGCTTTAACATTATCAGTTGACGGGTTAACATCCTTGGACGCAATATCACCCTTGAAAGAATAAAATAATATTTACTTGATTTAAAAAAAAAATGCCTATTAAATTACGTACAATAGCATCGATAACCCAGTCACGAAAGAACGATAATAATTGATCATCCATGGATGGTAACACAAGTAAACGCTAGAAAAAAAGAAGAATGATCAAGTAAATTTTCTGTACATTTCGAATAGTAGCTTTTCTACAATATTTATCGTATTAATGCACTTTTCTGCAAGACTAGGAAGTAATTAAAGAGTGACAACTGTTTATAACACAATTATAGAGCACTTACTTTCATTTCATCTTTGATGCGCGCTGAAAAGCAGAACAATTATTGGTATACATGAGTAATAGGTAGAAACAAAACAAAAATTTACCTTCTAGAAAATCATGTATAATATTGTATGAATATTTACTTTCGCCAAATACTGGTGTCACTTTAAGGGTTAAATCAGGTAATTCAGGAAAACCAATCCTAAACAAAACATACAAATTGTAATTAAAAACGCAACTACGTTTTATATTTTTTTGATCATCAACATACCAGATACGATCACTTGGTGGTGGAGGAATATTGATTGTCATTACACCAGAGAAACTTGTTAATTCAACATTGGCACCTACTTCTGTGCCAGATAACTTTTCAATAACGCCAGCGACCTGAAGCGCAAAATAATATCAGTGCACTAAGAAACGTCTTGGTGAAATTCATTTTGCTCAAAAGCAGCCCAGCATGAGTCAGTATTAGATATCTGCTAATAATCAATTCTGACGTAAACAGCACTGTATTTGTGATACTCCATCTCAAAGTACGAAACAGAAAAATTTTATGAAAAATAAAGCTTACAGGTTTTAATGCTGCAAATCGTTGAAAATGTTTGCTTGTTGCCAATTTTTGTAACAATGTGCCAAGTTTACGTGATGCAACACTGGAAGAAAAACGACATATATTTAATAAAAAATTCAAGGAGAAAAAAGACAAAACAGGACAAGTGTACTCATTCCGGAATACGTCTATCCTAGAATGTCATTCTGTCATTCCGTTTTTTAAAAGTCATCATATCTCTTTTCCTTCACATACGGGAGAGTAGCAGATGAATAAAAATTCTGCTCCTCCTGTTACTCTTTATTCCGCTACAAACTCATAATTTTTGCCAAAATTAAAAAATTTCACTTATTCCAGAATGGTGTTCCACCATTCTAGAGTGACATTCCACCATTCGAAAAAATCTTTCAAATTTGCACGAATTTGGGAACAATGCTTTACTCCACCAAATACAATAAGTCAAATATCATTTACGGAGATTACTAACAGTTAAATTTACACTATTGCTGTTTGTCTATATAGTTCTAATTCTACCTACTTTTCTGGTACTTCAGGTTCTTTGGCTAGAAGTTTTTTCTGCGCTTCTACATCGTCATCATCAATTTTTTCTTCCATTTTATGAACGAGTTGCGCGGAACGATGTTGCTGAAACATTGGATCATCATGAGTAGGATTATAATGAAGTAATTTTTGTAAATGTAATTTTGTTTTAATTGTGATTCTAAATGTAGTTGAAGAATAAAAGCCTATCAACATCGTTCAATTATCAAAATCTACTCTTACTTAAAACTTCCACGATAAAATACGAATAAATTAAACCATATTCCTTTTGAATTCCATTGCATTGGTTCAACTTTCAAAATGACAGGAAACGTATTGCCTAAGTCAATTTTTTCAACTTTCAATTCACCTAGTACGGAAACCTATAGAGAAAAATATGATAATTTAAATTTAATGAAGAAATCCATTCTGATGATTGGAATGGAAACTTTATGCTTTTCTTAGCTCGGTGATAGTTTAATCGTCGATATAGATCAAAAGAGATTGTCAGAAACAAAGATGATGTTCATTCCGATCAATTTTTCTCTTGATAAAAAGATAAGACTCTATTATCCTTTGAAAAGAACAAAAACTCTGATATTTACAGCTATTTCTTTTAATTTTAATTCGACTTTTTCTTTCATTAAATCTTTGAACAACGGCTCTTCGAATATATCACATAATAATCTTCTTGCAAGAAAATTCAATGTTATGGCTGCTTCATCTAAACAATCGTGCGATTGTAATAATACTTCTACTGTTTCTTCTTGTTTTTTAAATTTTTTTTTCATTGATGCTGTACGTTGTGTACCAGTGGCATCTGAATCTTTCGGCTTTTTGTCTTTCTCTTTTTCAATATTTTCACGTCTCAATTCTTCAGCTTGTAATTTCGCTTGTGTAATATCGTTTTGAATATGTTCATTAGTTATTTGTTCACGTAACGATTCCGTTTGTGTTTTGTCTGCATTCATTGTGTCAGCATACGGGGGACCGACATTCTCAGATTCTTTCATTTGAACCCGATCGTCTAATACCGTACGGGTGTCTGTGTTTCGATTAACAAGTGGTACTGGCATTTCAGCAATTGTCACTGACACATTGTCACGCGATGATGACGTTTGAATTCCGGGAGCCGATGGAGCACCCATTGATAGACGATTCGCTCGTTCAATTTCATCTTTACCTAAAATAAGACCAAATCTATAATATTTTAAAAGATAATAATCTTTAACCTTGTCTTAAAGCGCGTATGCACTTGGATAAAATGGTTATTTTCACTTGAGATATTGTGAGATAGAAGAACTAATAAGATATGATATGTAAGTGTAAATTTAAGAATATTGCTACACAAAGCGATTTTGAAAAGTGAAAAAATGGATCCTTCGTGTACCTAGCTTATACGTCATTTTGTGATTAAGTTATTCATATAGATACAATTATAGTCCTTTGTGCATTAATTAGAGGAGAAGGAACAACAACGACATAACAGAGATATTAAATTAAGATATCGAATTTACCTTGTCGTAGAACTAATGATAATTTATGAAACCATTCTTCTTTAGCTGGCCCGGTTTCAAAAAATAGCGACATTGTCGTTGTAGGATTATTAAAAAAATCATCTGTATCAAATTTTGATTTTTCCAAATTTTCATTATCAAATATTTTCTTATCTGATATTTTCATATCTTGTATAACAATTGGATATTCAGCTAGCCAATATTTTATGCGTGCTAACGTTGCTTCTGGTACGAGAATTAATTTGGCTTCTAGAAAAAATAAAAAATTCATTAAATGAACAAAATATTATAAAGAATGTTAGGTCACCAATACAGTTATCTGCTGTAAGATTATCTTTATCAATTCGTTGCTTTGTCGCTCAACTCATTCAAGTACGATAAACATCATTCATCAGTATACGAGCACGTTAATAAATTATTTAGGCGTTTTACTTTGGGTAATGTGTATTTTAGTTCCTTTTATATTACCTTTAACTATATATTCTCTATAGCCGATAAATTTAACTTCTTTCTCTTTCTTGTCTGATCCAATAACTGCTTTTGTTGGTAATTGTATAATAAGACGGTATTGTTCAAGATGAATAACACATGGATAGCGAACATATTTATCATCGCGATCAGCGTCATAACGGCCAAATATAAGTTCACCACAAGTCTAAGCAGAAGAAAAAATAAGAACAACAACATCCAAATAATAACATACAATACCGTAAAAGTTCAGCAAAAGTAACATAAAACTTAGGATCAAATAAATTCAAATAGGTTGCTCATTTTCTTTAGTTATACTCAAATATACATATGTTTCGTTGAAAAAAAACCTTTATGTCAAAATGACTTGAATTATTATCTTCTAAGGTAACAAGAAGAACATTCTGGAAATTTCAACAATCGAGTAACTTAATGTCATCAGATATAATGATAAGATTGAGTTCAGTACACTAATTTATGAGAAATATAACATAATAATACGTACATGTAAAGATGTGGATTTGTCCTCTTTAGCTGTTTTTTCTGCTAATATTTGTTCTAATTGAGGAAAGTCAATCCATTCATGCACAACACCTTCATCAGCTTTGGCATTTGTGTACATTTTAACTAATATAACGCAAACAGCTGTAGCAAACATAAAACCAACGCTAAAACCACTGAAAAAGGATGATATTGGCTTCCATAGTGTAATTATTATTGATATTACACCAATAGCGATCTAAATAAAGAAAAAATTCTTTAAACATAGTAGAAGGAATCGACAAAAACATAGTAGTGATATTTCAAGCGTTTAGACTCAAAATATATATGCGATAACGAATCAACTATGATTGGTTTAATCTCTCAATTTTATTGCAAACTTACTAATTTTCTAGGCCAAATGTAAGTGAAATTACAAAAGTTTAGTTTAACATCACAAATAACTCATTTAAATGAATTTGGCTAGGAACCAGAAGTGAAAAGAAAACGATTATACTAACCGATATAGGTTTAATTGTATCTCTTGTCAATTGATTTTCTGGTTCAACAGTATGTGCTCTAAATTTTGGACCACTTAATAACATTGTCGGTTTTTTTGTACTTATTTCATTTCCATAAATAGGTAGTGGTTTAACTAGCGTTCCTTGTGAATCGACCTTATGAATAACATAATCTTCACTTCCACTTTCACTTGCTGTACGTGCTCCGGTAAACATTTCCTGACGTACAGACGACATCAACTTATCTTTCGCTTGAGCACTGTTCTCTGTTGATAATAGATCTTGTAATAAACGATGAGAATCCGAACGAATAAACGATGTGTTAATCGGAGCACTTAATGTGCTGATATTACTTTTACTGAGTGATGACACTGAATTATGACGATCTGTTGTGGACGACTGATTTCCGATAATCCCCGCGAGTGAACTACTATCATCACCTTTAAAAAATGGAAAAAGAACAAGTGAGAGAGATCAAACAGGAATTGTACTCACGGATGTGTTCTGTATGAAAAAGATAGGAACTCGTTTTTTTTGTTTACAACTGAAAGACAGATAGTCATAGCCTTTCAATATAAAAACCAGAACCGAAATAAGATTTTTGAACAAAAAGAATCATATGACAGTTTAGCTACTCAGAATGAAGCTATCGAATGGCTAAACATGAAAACAGTATTACTTAATAAGTATTCGAAACAAATAATCACGTGTGTCGATAAAGATCCTTTGATCCTTTCTATACGTGATTACTATGAGAATTTCGTAACGTGGACTACAGTAAACGTACAGAACTCCTGAAATTAAGGAACAATGGCCATCTAAATAGACGAATCTCCTGTTTGTCATAGAATTACGATGTTTGTTCTGAAAATAAATTAGTCAAACATGATAGTTAAACATGAAGTTCGAACTCCAAGATGGTGCAGAAGTGGGAGCAATGTTTTTCTGCTTCATTCTTTCAATAAAAAAAAGTAAAACATTAACTATACAACGAAAAAAAATTTTCTTGTCACCTATTATTTCATTTTTTTTTATCGCCTGAGTACTCTCTTTTTCTTTTGTAATTTTATTCCATATTTATTTATTTCCTTCTTACCATGCTTTCTCAGATGTGATGGTGATGGTGCTGGATCTTTCTTTTCAATAACAACTGTGTCATTTTCCATATTTGTTCTCATAACAAAACTATTGCTACTACTTTGAGAATGTTTTATTGTTTCAACTCTGTCTGCAATATCGTCTTTAATAGTAGAAAGTTTTTGCCCTATTTTATCGAATACAGTTTGCTTTTTCTGATCGGTCATTGCAGTTTCGGCCGAATGGTCTCTAGCAACCGAATTTTTGTTACACGTGTAATGTGAATGATGACGATGGCGTGCGTGATGATCAGTCTAGAAAAAAAAAGAAAAGGAAAGAAGAAAAGAAACACAAAAATGAACCGCTTCAACCCTACTATAAATATATGCATATACGTTTAAAGAAGAGAACGACGGCGATTCTTCTTGAATACATCTTAGTAAGAATAACGGCAGAAGCAGTAGCAAGAAAATTACCCCAATAAAAAATAATTACTATCAGAATGAACCGCTTTAATTTTGTATAAAAATCAGTGTCTCTCCTCTACGTATATTTCTGTACGAGCAGATGTAATGCAAAAAATTTTCTCGAAAATTCTTAACTATCGTATATAACTCAGTTTAGAGATGAGAAGTGGCGTTTTATGTTCTCTGCCAGTTTTTTCCTTTATGTCATCATTTTTTCAAATCATAAAATAAACGAAAGAAATTTTTTCGCTTTTGTTCTGCCACAAATATAATCCTACATAATGTGTAGATATGGTCTTTTACCTTGAAGACGGCACAAAAATATCATATCTATTTTATTTATTCGAAAAATAGATATGATCACATGAAACTGAATACGATCATATGAAAAAATATTTTCTATTTACATTTCGCTCTTTATTCTAAAGTTTTAATATCTCTTAGTCCAGCGGATATCCGTGTTTCAGAGTTCATTGAGTGTAGTTCCTACCTTTCTAAATGTGATTATTCTGAAAGAAAAATGATTCAGTTCTGCTAGACAATATCATGAATAACCCAAACATACTATAAGTGTATAAATGTAACTTTTCCTTGTTAAAAAGTACATGAACAAGGAAAAACCAATAAAATAAAGACAAGCAAGTTTGGTAATATTTGAAGTTGCTTATAATCAAATAAAAATGAAGGAAAGCAAGCAGGTTTGAAGCACGTAAAGAATCAGGAGAAATAAAAACAGACATTAGATGGAAAGTTATACAATATTGTATTTTCAACTGTTTTAAGAAAGATTCGCCAACGACATAGTTGTCTTTAAATGATTTTGTTTGACATCATCTGTGCTGATTGCACTTGAGTAACAGATGAAGTATGATTTATAAAAATAATTGAAAACATAAAATAAAAAGGCAATAAATAGATGTTTTTCGAAGCACATAATCGCTGGATAATTGAGTCTTTGCAAGCAATTACGAATAAAAACTTAGACTTTTCCCCCGATTTTGCCGATATTATTTACCGAATGAACAAAACTATAATCTTTGTTACACAAAGGAACAAAACAAAATTTTTTAATGAACAAAATAAGCATACATGCCCAAACTAGATAAAATATTTTGCATTTAACCTACGTCATTTTTGTTTGGCGAAGTGTAAACACGCAGAAATTCAGTAAAAAGTAGTCTTTTTGTTATAACCTAAAGATCTAAACAACAGGAAACATCAGCCTAAAAATGAATACACCTCTTTTAAACTTGTATAAAGAAGATAGCAACCGTTTAACGCAATACGAACAACATCTATGCAATGTCACTAGGTGAGAAGCTATTAAAATAACATAACTCTGTACTGCAGCTGTAGCATGGAGTTGTAAACCAGTGTCGACATTGAACTAGTGGGTGAAACAAGCGTTTGTGAGGAAAAGAACTAAGAGTTTATTCCTGCTAAATACAAGCGATTTTAGTTATGTTTACTTCACTAAACATCGATAGTAATCGTTTCATGTTCCTCGAACTTTTTATTTTGTTTCGTTAAATATGTTTTTATTTTAATGTTATTTCTTGTGTTTTAGGATCATTCACTAAATTACACTGAACAAATGATTTACAAGTCGAAATAGAAGTAAAAATAAATGGGTCGTAAATAAATATAAAAATTCTACTAAATTTTTACAAACAAACACACACACACACAAATACAAGAAATATTTTTGTTAATTCGACATCGATTAGTCTTTTTATAAATTTAATTACGTAGTTAGAAGTCGCCTGTCAAAAACAGCTGCCAAAAATGGCCGCAAATGATGATATTTTTTTCTTCCTTTTTTTGTTTTTATTGAATAAAAATTCAACCAATGTCTGTATGCTCTAGTAGATGTATGCATCGTGTATCCACCTATCTCATATATATATATAATATATTTTAAAAATCGTTGACAACAGTGATAAACTTGGGACAAAAACCCGCAAAATAACGAAATATTTATTCTCTAATCGTTAGAATGTCGTTTTTGTCGAATCGTATTGTTAAGTAGCTGAGCCGTTCGAAAAATACGGCAATGACTTAAGTTTTCGGTCTTAACTTTAAGACTACAATTTCCCATGACTTAAGTCACTGTTTGGCTTAATTTTATTGTAATACGGTAAAACTTAAGTTCTGGCTTAGGTCCCAATTTTGACTTAACTCAGACTTAAGTTTTTTCGTGATACGACGCCCAGGTGCAGAGTTGTCAGATGGTCCGCATTTTGCGAACAAATTCCGCTTTCTGTAGTTTTTTCCGGAAAGGATCTGCTTTTCGAGGATTTTTTTGTTTTTGTCCTTTTTTCTGCAACACAGATTTTTACATTTTCTCATAAAATGTTTGCCGCTGAATGATCTGTCAAAACAATGCTTTTGCAACTTTCTTGCGCGCTGTTTCGGGAACTAAATCAGAAACCCGAGGGTGAGCGGTAAGAGAAAAACATTAGCTTGTCTCGAGTGCTGCTGAAAGGGAGTGTGAAAAATAGAGAAATACTAAATCTTCAAGGAAGCCAACTCGGGCAGGAAATCTTAACCATTAAGTGCTGTCGTAGACGAGAAATTTCGAATTAAATTTTATACTGCTATACATAACTCTTGAAATTTATGACGGCTGATCTAAAACGCACATCGATTCAAAAAAGCATCGACTTTTTATTCCGCTTTTCTGACCTAAGCATCTGACAATTCTGGTCGGGTGTAAAAGTTTGACAAGGCTACAGAAACTTCAAGTTAGGAGTATTCCCTCTTTGAAAATCTATGTCGAGTGTCTAATTCATATATGATTTGAAAAAGTCACAAAAGTCTCACTGTTCCGGATATAGGTTTTTTGGTTTTAATAACTGAAAGGCGTGCTGATGAACATAAAATAAATAGATTCAAGTATTGACTTCAGATGCGCTCTCATCCCTGTAACAGAAGTCCTTGGCTTCAGTTTTAAAACATTTTGCGCCGAATTGAAAAGTTTTAAACAGCAGTGTTCCAAAAGTGCCAGTACGTAAGTTTGTATGGCATACCTGCGCATATCTATGAGATAATTTCCTTCTTATGGGTTTAGGACATTTGCTTGTCCTAGTCGCTCGCATGACAAGTTACTTTTCTGTACCGATGCTCGCTAGGGCTAGTGCTCACCAGAATAGATGCTCATCAGACACGTGCTCACCAGGAACTTATAATAGAAAAAGTATTTTGTAAAACTCAATTGTTATTCAGAACCATTTTCTGGTACAGATTAAAAATTTTTATCTGTTGGGATCGTAGTGACATTGTCATCTTGCCATCAACGACGAATATCTTTCAAATTTGCCTTATTTGATAATATTACACGAACTTCATCGGGAATACCAATATAATTTTGTCAGATATTATGTGGATTTGTATGATTATGTGCAGCCCCTTGTTTTAAATTCTCATAAGAGTTTCGCACTGGTTCTGAACATGGCATGATTTTCGTGTTCATCAAACGTTTTTATAATCACGTTATCTACATCTGCATGAAGACGTGCATGACATGAAATTTTTTTTTGAAATTCACATTTCCAATAAAGTATTTTATCGGTTTTCCGATCGACAATATATGAAAAACTATTGTGAAACAGTAATGGAGTATTTTTGGACGTTTGAGAAATGCTAACAGACATTGTAAACAGTGATCATCGAAACTTCTTTGCAATTTCTACTCTTCCCAAAATCCCGGAAAAATTATATTATTTATGGACACTCATCACGTCAAATTATTCAATATAAAAAATCTTAAATAGTCTGAACATGTTTTATAAACGATTTTAAGGTTCCCATTTATCAAATACTTTAATTAGTTTGAACATCTTTTAGAAACTACTTTATTGTTCCGTTTCCCATTTTTATTCACACCGTTTTTCCTTAGTGTATAATTATATAAGAAATAGTTTTTTTTCGAACACAATTATCTGTACTTTAGTGTTTGTCCAAAGTCTAGACATATCACTGAATCGAGAAATTTTAAAGTTTTGTTTGATCAAAGCCGATTACAGATTCGTCTTCTCCGTAGGCGATTATCTTGTACACGCTAAATTTCATTTTGGAGTACTTTAGAAAAAAATGTCAACATTGTTTTCTCTTTGCTCTCACACAGTGACTTTCTGAAAATTTTTTGTGTAAGACCATGATAATTTTTTCTTCTGAAGTACCCCAATTCAAAAGCTAGTGCGTACAAGATAATCGACTATGGAGAAGACGAATCTGTAATCGGTTTTGATTGAATAAACCTTCAAAATTTCTCGATCTGGTGATATACAGCACGGATTGAACTTTACGTATGTTACATAATGACTCGAGCTGTCACATCGCGGTCACTCTAGAGTCTCATTTTTTCAAAGAATGGTAGCCATGACTCGCAATAAGAGTTTTTGGCGCGACACGATCCTGGAGGAATCTCAGAACTTCTGAAATGAATTTCTACGCATGATTATGACAGAGAAAACTCTTACAGTCACTTCGCGAAACGTAAGGAAAACTGTAGTTGTGATGTGCGTGGCGGTCCACAATTCTTTCACGTTTTTGTTTTGCACCTGAACTTATATAAAAGAACGGAAGAGACATTAGAATTTTGCTTAACTTTG